ACAAGGGGTGTGGAGTCCTGGGGTTCACTGACCAGCTAGTCTAGCCAAATCGGGGAGCTCCAGGTTCAGTGAGATTCTCTCTTTCAAAAAATAAGGTGAAGAGTGATTGAGGACTACACTCAACATTGACATCTGCCATGGACATGCATGTGCACACAGGTGTCTGTTATTCACGCGTACATGTGGACATACACAAACTTGTATACACACAAAGTAGGTGAGGGCATTAGGGAGGGACCTTAACGGTTTAACACTGGAATTTTCATTATTACTCAGACTCGGATGTGCACATATGCTCCATGTGCTTTTTCTATGATGCTGTGTACTAACTTGGGGGCTAGGCTGTCACTGGATGTGGTCCCCAAACCGTGTCTTAAAACCATCAGTCACCATAAGACTCTTCACTCTCTCCATCTCTCCATGTGTAGTCCACTTTTTTTTTTTTTTTTACATTTTCAGCAGCAGGAAAGCAGACAAGCCGAGTGGAAAGAAATTCAGAAATTGTTAGAGGTCGGTAAAGTTGAGGCATGTGACTGTGGACTCAGCGGCACAGGGATTGTCGGAAGCCTTTGCAAGAGCAGCTTTGTAAGCGAGGGGCGAGGGTCAGCAGATTCCACCCTATAGGCAAAGGAAGCTCGTGGAGCACTGCAAGCCAGTGTCTCATTTACTTTGATCTGGACATTCAGGAAGCCCCAGGACATTGAATCAGTGAATGATAGGTAAGAGGAAAATGGGGACAATGATACTCCATAGTTTACAACAAGAAATAATCTACAGAGATCTGTTGGTTATGATAAACGTGGGAAGAATGGGAAGAATGACAGGACATATGGAGTAACTAATGGCAGGACAGCACCTGGCCACTTAGCAACACACATTTTAGATGTTCCATCACCACCTTCAGGGAACAGGATTGTCAGTATTTTCCTGTTGAGACTGGAGAAGTAAAGGAAAATAAGAAAACACCAAGAAACCAGCCTAGAACCACACAGGCAAAGGAAGTAAGCTAGGCAATTGGGACAGCCGAGGAAGGCCTTTGTGGCCATTATAGGGACCTTGTCTTTTGTTCTGAGTCCAGTGTGGAGTCACCAAGGGTTGTGAGCAAAATGTCATGAGCATATTTTAATGTGTCACACCAGTCAGCAAACCGAGGATAAGCTGTACGAGGGTAAGCTCAGCGGAGAGGTCACTCAGGAAGCCGTGGCTGTAATCCTGGGAAACAAATTCACGAGACCTTAGATGGGGTGGGAGGCAGTGGAAGGAATAAGAAATGCTCAGATTGTTGTTTAGCTTAGAGCGGGCTCCCTCCCCTGCCCACTTCTCTGTGTGTTGCGTGTCCTTGTGTGTCTATGTGCTTGTGTGTATGTGGCGATCAAGCATGTGATGCTTGGCTCTGCTTCCCCTGTGCTGGGAGCCACCATGCCTGGCACTTCCACTTTAATGCAGAGGATTTGAACTCAGGTTCTCATGCCTGAGCATCAAGCACTTGACTGACTGAGTCGTCCTCTGTTCTTGACCCTACTGTGATATTTTCTCATGTTCCAATGAAGGTAATGTGTTAAAGAGAGGAGTTGAAATGGGTTCTTCTCTTCTTGCTTCATGTGTAAACACAGTCTCAGGAGCCACAAAACTGGTGGGGTCATTCTCCAAGAAACTGATCTCAGGCAGAGGAAAGAAATAGGCCAGAGCCGAGCCTGGACCAGCTATGCTGAGGAGTCAGGGGAGGAACCAGCAAGGCCAGGAGACCAAGATGAAAATGAAAGGAGAACTGTGGACTTGGTATAAAAAACTGTGTGTATGAAGGAGGAAGAGGAGGTGGTCAGATGGGCCATGCTAGTGACTATGATGATAAGCATGAAAGAGTAAAACAGGTAAGACAGTTGATTGTTGAGTGAAAGTTTCAATGCACAAGTTACATTTGCGCAGCGGGAGACTCCCACAGGCTTCCAAGATGGTGGCATAGGTTACGAAGACATCCAGCATATGCTAGATGAGCAGAAGCAAGGCTGTGTGTGTAAGCTAGAGGAACTATACCTGGAGAAGGCCAGGATAAAGGCCTGACAAATGAGTGTTAGATATCAATGAGGGTGGGGTTGGTGGCCATAGTCAGGTGAGTCTCAAGCAACCACTGGAGGATATCAGAAGGATGGGACACGCCCAGTTCCTCATGGTTGCCCTGGCTGCTGGGTGGAGGATGGCTTACTGGGGAGGAAAAGATGTCAGGACATAGGCCTGGAAGCTGCTGTCCAGGGCTAAGGTTAGAAAAAGGCCTGTCTGAAATGATGGTTCTTATCTTGGGAAGGGGGAATTTGAATGCATGGATTCTCAGGCTGCAGGGGTACTTCATATTGCAAGTGGCCCTGAATGCTTGTTCTCTACAGTGTTGGCTTCTGATGTTAAATGAGCTAGCTAGAAGTCTATGTGAGGTAGGTCCTGTGTAGTTTAGCTATATTGGTTTGTATTTCCCTCAGATGAACCTGTGAAATTTGTGTTACTGTCGCCCTTATCTTACTGATGAAGAAAGTGGGCCACAGAGGCTGAGGAAATTGCTTCCCAGCATATAGTCACCCAGCACCAGAGCTAAGATAGGGCTCTTTCCTTAAACCTTCTTCACTCGCTTCCTTTCCTGGCTCACTGGGTGATTAAATTAGTTGTGAAAACCACAACATTGGTTCTAACAGACAACAGTCCCGTGGCAGGGACAATCCTTCTGATGGGGAAGACATGAGAGAAGATATTGCCATATCCTTCCTTAGGACAAAAAGAGATAACAGTAGAGAGACCTGTGGGAAAACTGAATGTTGGACCCAGTCTAGACAGAATGTGTATCTGGTATGTCCAGTTGACATCAAGGTGGAGAGGAGCAGATGGAGACAACAGATATGGAGAGACAGTACCGACCAGTTCACTCTAAAGGAAGGTGCCTGGGTCAGGGGCTATGTTCTCAGCTCAGCTTGGAGATGGGCTGGCACCCAGAAAGCAGCAACCTCATTTGTTAGTTTTAAAGTCCAAAGCAGCAGACCCCTTACGGAACTGATAATCTCAATTGTAAATGACAGGTCACAAAGCTCTGCCTGGACAGGCCTGACCATCACTAGCCTTGTTCGTGTCCTAATTACACCACATTGTCAGCTCTGGCCACGCTTGTGTTGGAGCCTCATGTCTGTGCCTTCGCCCCTTTGTAGCTCACCAGTTTGTAGGCCTGTTTGAGGTCCTTTTGAAACCTGGAATTGTCTGAGAAGCCCTCTGCCTTAAACATTGGAGATGGTGTTTGATAATAAACCCCAGCAATGTCATGAAGAAGATTCAGCAGGGCTGGGGTGCCATGTGCCAGGCACAGTGCCTCCATAGGTCAATGGCGGGAGTGGAGTTACAGAAGGCCATTCTGTGGCATTGTTTTCCTTTGCCTATACACTGAAGTATTCACCTTTTGCAACTGTGAACGTGACCTTATTTGAACTTAAGATCTGTGCAAAGGCTATCAAATCAAGACGATCTTGAGGGCCCGGGGTGCAGGGAAGTGGCAGCAAGGTTACTAGAGTTTGGAGTGGGTAAAGGTGGGCCCTAGTTTAACAATTAGTGTCCATGTAAGAAGAGGGAGACTGGGACAGAGACAGATATGGCAAGAGTACTGTATCAAGGGGAGACTGAGGTGACCTGTCGTTGTGGTCACCCGTAGCAGCACATCTGCTCACTGCTTGCTTGTCTCCTCCAGGCTTGGTGTTCCTCCCAAGTCCCACCCACGGCAGCACATAGAAGGCAAGGGAAAAGTCCATGTTGGATTTTGGAGAACACACCCACTACTGGCATCTCGGCCCAGAGCGTGGCCTCTTACATCACAAGACCACACAATTCTCTGATGACAAGCCGCTTCCGTGTCACCTTGTCACAATAGCCCCATGACACTGGCAAATTGACTGTCACCCAGGCAGTCTTCAGGATCATCTGGAGAGCCAGAGTGTCTGAGGTCAGGAGAACAGCCTGGCCTGTGCAGTTCCGATCCTGACAAGACACAAGCCTCACATGGAAGCAGGAGCTTTGCCAAGAGTCTACTCTTGGTTTCCTAAGTTATTAAAATCAGTATGCTTTACATCCAGGGAACCAATGTGGGAAGAACATGGCTTTCGGTTCACCAGGCTTGGCTTCAGCCAGGCTCTCCATTCAACAGCTGCTGACCTTTGAGCAAGTCAAGCCACTCAACCCACTATTAGTCTGCTTCAATGTCTATTCCTCCAGAGAGTATAGTGCGATCTGTTCCCAATGGTTACATCCAAAGGGACACTGTGTTTCCTGCAGAAGTTGGAGCATCTTCCAACCTCTGAGCCCCAGCTATTTATACGGGTGGTGGAAAACGGACTCAGGCATAAGCTTAATGGAGAAGAATCAACAATTGCATCATGGGAGTAGCAGGTGCTCTGAGGGAAAGTGAGGGGGAAACCCTCTGAGGCCACCATGGGGTGATACAGCAGAACCCCTGCTTCTCACAGTAAAGGTTTATTTGGTTTTCATCCCCCTCCAGTGAAAGGGTGGCTCATTCACACTACCTAAAAGCCTTGTAAATACATTGCAAAAGCAATAAAAATGCTTTAAAATGAGAGAAAGGAAGAAAAGCTTGTGGAGGAAAGAAGCATAAAGTTGAAGCCTCTTTGGGTGTAAGCAGAGACCAGAAAAAAAAAAAAAAGAATGGTCCGTTACTTTGTTAGAGCAGTCACGAAGCCATGGGTTTTGCTGTTCCCATGCTGCTCGTGCCCTCAAAAGAAGCCAGTGTGCACTTTCCTGTTTGTGCCTCTTCTATACTGATGAGACACCTAGAAGCTGAACTTCCAAACTATGCACAAAGCTTGCTCGGCAGCAGGATCCTAACTAGTGTTTCAGCAGGTAGAGAGACATGGTGCAGGTCCACTGGCTGCCTACAGAGAGGTCTGGGGTGCAGTGGCTCTGCTTTGGACAGCCGGCCCAGCTTCAGGCCTCTGGCTTGTTCTTCTGGCCCACCTGCTGTCTTAGCTCTGCCAGTCTGAGGGACCCGTGGTCTCGGGGATCGGGTGTTCCAAAGCATTGCAGTCATCCGAGTTGAACACTAAGTCCTGGAAAAGGCAAGCAAGCAGTGAACAGATGTGCTGCTTCAGGTGTCTCTGGAGCATACAGGCAGTGCTAGCGTGCCTGTAACCCTCCAAGACTGTCCGGGTGTCCCTGGTATGTAGAATCACACTTCTGTCCCTAGGAGAGCTAGTGCTTTCTTTCTTTTATCCTTTCTCTTTCTTTCTTTCTTTCTTTCTTTCTTTCTTTCTTTCTTTCTTTCTTTCTTTCTTTCTCTCTCTCTCTCTCTTTCTTTCTCTCTCTCTCTTTCTTCCTTTCTCCTTTTTTAAAAAATATTTTATTTTATTTCATGTGCATTGGTGTGAAGGTGTCAAATCCCTTGGAACTGTCACAGACAGCTGAAAACTTCCATGTGGGTGCTGGGAATTGAACCCAGGTTCTCTGGAAGAGCAGCCAGTGCTCTTAACCACTGAGCCATCTCTCCAGCATCGTAATTTTCTTTCTTCACATTCTCATTGGAATTTACTCAGGCTTTGGTTGACCAAATGGACAGATGGCTGAGTGGTGGGTAGGATGAATGGGTGCAGCTACTGCAGAATCGCATACCAGCTCCAACTTCCAACCACTTCACCCAGCGCATGCACCAGAAGGCACTCTGCTAATTTCAACTTCCCTTCTCCACAGCGAACCAAAGGAGTTCAGGAGTGAAGAGGGACTGGCACAGGAGAAACTTTCAGCAATCTAAGGATTCTAGAGGGGAGGGCCTTACTCTGGCTAGGCAGGTGCCTCCATATGTACACACTTGTGCCTCTCATATACTCTCCCCACTCCCAACACACACACACACACACACACACACACACACACACACACACACACA